TGGATTCGGCACAAATTGAAAAAGAAAATACAGTGGTATTACTCGGAGGAAGCAATGACAGTTTGAAGAATAATTTCACAGATATTTATGGAAATTTGGAAAAAAAACTTTCTTCTTTAAGCAACAACAGACAAGTTTTCATCTGCACAATACCAGCAAGACACGACTTACCAGCACACAGTTACCAGAATGTTGAAATCAGGAAGGTAAACAACTACATAGAAGAATTAACCAAAAGGCTAACCAATGTAACTTTAATTAATCTTAACCGATTTCAGAGACCGGACTTCACTAATCATGGCCTCCATCTCAATGGTAGGGGTAAGAACAAATTAGCCCATACAATAATAGATGCTGTTTCTCTTTGGTATGCTAAAAAGCCTCGGAGTATTTCCCGCAGTACACCAATGGTTTCTCCAGCCAGCTCCTCAATCCCAAAACTGATTGAGACTGAAGACAACTTAAAGGAGGTGATTGATGATCTGAAAAACAATCATAAGGTTGCATTTGCAAACACTATCCCTGCAGATTTTACTGACACTAAAGCTTCAAACCAATTTAAAATCCATCTAACTGAAAAACCTATGTTTGATGTTTTTAAAAATTACCAGCATGACCAATCAGTAGGGTTCGCACACAGTATTTCAGCTGATTTTAACCATCCACGTCACATGACAGCAGGAGTGGCAGTTGTCTTTAGGCGACACTTTGGCAGACCAGAATCGCACCACTGCATTTCATCACATCTAGCAGTGCAATCCACTTTGCATTGTGCTACGGTTTACAGTTTGGTTACAAAAGCCAACTATTTTGGTAAACCGGACATATCTGACTACACAACAGCTTTGATTTGACTACAGATTTCAAAACCAAAGGGCTAAAACATCTTATATGCTCTCCCATCGGATGCGTAAGAGATAAAGTAGCGCTACCCCATTTCTTCAGTAACCTCAGAAGTTTTCAAGAATCTACAGGAGCGAGAGTAACTATTGTTTCATACTACCAAGAGTCCCTTAGACAACTAAGAAATGGCTTAACACATAGTGAATTTAACAACAGAATCCAGTCTTTTATTGATAACAACTTTAATAAAAAGGAAGAAGTGAATGTCAGTGCTGAATCATTAGAGGATAGGATAGCAGCCTGCATAAGATCACCTGTCCAGCCAACACCATATACAACAATAGATTGTAGGAGCCCAGACCCGTCATCGACCTGTCCAGCACCGCCTGCCTCAATAACACCTTCAGCAGCCCTACCAACACCTTCGACGCTGACACCTACCCCACCATCACGACCTTCAGTGGCAGCTGTGAATGAGAATGTGATCAAAGTAGTGCCCGGCAACTTCACCTTCTGTGAGTTGCTAAAGCAGAGCAAAAGTGATAGGCCAAGTGTGGAAGTGAATAAAGCTAGTTATGTACCACAATTGTTAAATTTAGAGGTAGATTCTGCAATCCAAAACGATACCATTAATTTTTTAGTAGATCAAGCAGCCCCCATTGTAAAAGTAACGTTAGAATAAGCAATTTATGTATTTTTCATCAAAACATTAGAGGGTTGCAATCATCAATTGAACCTTTAGAAGTAACTCTAACTGAACTAACACCTAGTATTGTTGTCTTGACAGAACATAAAATGATAAGTTCTTCTCTGGAAAGATTAAATATTAATGGTTACAATGTTGCTGCCAGTTTTGGGCGGAAAAAATCTAGAGGTGGTGGCGTAATTATTTGAGCAAAACCATTTTTTACTTTTAAAGAAATTATAATACCTGAAATCCAAAATCTTGTCACTGAACAAATTTTTGAGTGTTGTTTAGTAGAGGTAGATAAAATTATCCCCAGGAAAAAACTTATTATAATTGGTTTCTACAGGAATCCAATTAAGCAAAATGAATCTGAGTTTATCAAACGACTCGATACAATGCTTGAAATAATTAGTGTTAAATATAAATATGTTATTTTTATGGGAGATATTAATATTGATATGCTGAACTTAAATGACACCAGCAGGAAAAACTTACTGCATGTTGTAACAGCTAATGGCTTCCAGTCATTGGTTGATTTTCCTACAAGAATCACCGATACAACTAAAACTGCAATAGATAATGTTTTTACAAATTTAGATAGCAGCTGTTATAAAATTACGGGTATTAATACACAACTTTCGGACCATGATGGCCAAATAATTGAAGTTTTTACTAATACGAAAAATAGCCTGAATAATTCTTCTGTTTATTTTGAACATAAAAGAAATTTTAATGATAAAAACATTGAACAATTTATATCTGCTTTACAACATGAGTCATGGCTTAATCTTTATTTATGTCCTGTGGAATGCAAGTATGATGTTTTTTATGAAATATTTATGCATTATTTTAATACATTCTTTCCATCAACTCTCTCAAGACAACATACTAACTGTAAGTGGATTCCTAATGAACTGAAGTTGGAAAGACAAAATATTATTAATCTTAACAAAGCGGCTAGAGAGTTAAATTGCAAAAAGTTGTTACATGAGGCTAGAGAAACAAATAAGCAGTTTAGAAAGAAATTGTTTTCTTCAAAAAAACAGTATTATAAAAGAAAAATTGGTAGTTCTGACAATGTTAATAAGGCAACTTGGAAGATTGTGAACTCTGAAGTAGGAGCCAAAACTATTAATAATCATAATATAAACCTAGTAGTAAATAATGATGTATGTTCTGACCCTTCCCTGGTCTGTGGCCAATTCATAAATTATTTTGCAGATATTGTAAAAGAAACTGAAACTTTCAATAATATAAATACATTCCAAAAAAATTTTGATGACACACTGCATCCTGTACTTCCTTTAGATAAAAGGAGCTTTAAATTTAGCTTTGTTGATGAGAGCGACATTGATAAAATTATTAAAAGTCTAAAAAATTCCTATAGTGCTGGCTACGATGGTATTCCTGTGGTTCTTTTTAAAAAAGCGAAATCAGTCCTACTTAAACCAATAACTCATCTCATTAACTCATCTTTGATATCAGGAATTTTCCCTAACAAACTCAAAATAACAAAATTAAAACCGCTATTCAAAAAAGGAAACAGACAAACAGTATCAAACTATAGACCGATTGCTTTGCTGCCTTCAATTTCAAAAATCTATGAAAAGGTTGTTTATAACCAACTGGTATGCTTCTTTGAAAATAATGGTACATTTGATGACTGCCAACATGGATTCCGAAGTGGCAGATCTGTCATAACAGCTGCCACAGCTTTCATTGAATCCATCGTTGATAGCTTAGAGAGTAAATCTAAAGTGGTAGGGTTGTTCATGGACCTCAGTAAAGCTTTTGATTCAATTTCTCATGAGTTGTTGCTTTCAAAGCTCAGTAGTAGTGGACTAAATAGTAGCCTACTGCTTTGAACTGGTTCAAGTCATATCTTTTTGATAGGAAACAATACGTAGAACTGAGTCACTGTAATAACAAAAATTATAAAATTTCTTACAATTCTCGTACTCGGGAAGTAAAATATGGGGTGCCCCAAGGATCGATCCTAGGCCCTCTTTTATTCATCTTTTATTTGAGAAATTTTCCTCAACTCAGTGATTTTAGCAAGCTTTGCCTATATGCTGATGATGCAAATTTAAAAATAGCCGCAGGAACCTATGCTGAACTTGAAGCCAAGGCCAATTCTGATATATTATTACTTAACAGTTTTTTTAATTCGAATAATTTGCGTTTGAACACAGATAAAACTAATTTTATGTGTTTCCAAGCAGGAAAAACTAAACCGCAAAATCTGCCAAAAATTGTAGTTAATAACAACATAATTCAAAATAAAGACCACATTAAATTCTTGGGATTAGAAATTGATGAAAATTTGAAGTGGAATCATCATATTGATCAGTTACTTTCTAAAATTTCATCTGGCCTTTATGCGCTAACAAGATTAAAACCCCTATGTGAAAAGGAAACTTTAAAAATTATATATTTTTCGTACATACATTCAATCATATCATTTGGAGTTTCACTTTATGGTGCAGCAAAAAAGAAAAAATTAAAATCAATTCTAAAAAAGCAAAAGAAAGCTATTAGAATTTTGTGCAATTTAAAACGCAGAACTTCAGTCAAAGAATATTTTAAAACTGAGAATATTATGACTGTTTAGGAATGTATGTCTATGAAACAGTATTATCAGTAAAGGACAGATTTAATGAATTACAACTTATTGGAGACTATCACAATTACTTCACTAGAAATCGAGAAAACCTGGCCACAAGCTCACATACTCTGCAACTTTTTACGAAGACACCTAAATATGCCGGTTCCAAATTTTATAATAAACTTCCTAAAGAAATCAAATTAGAAACTTCCAAAAATAAATTTAAATCAAAATTGAAAAAGTTTCTTATGAACAAGGCTATGTACTCCTTTGAAGAGTTTTAGTTCTTTAAGTTATTAATTGCTCTGTTTCATATCAATTGAAACTTTTGGTTTTAAAATAATTTTATCTATATTTTTAATTTTGATATTTTCATGTAGGCCTATAAACTTTCATATTGCACTGCTTGTTTTAATTTATTTGATCTGAAAAGCTATTAATATTGATGGTATGTTATTATGCCATGCATGATAATGATTAGTATTTTAGTTAGTTAGTTTTATTAAATTACTCTTGACGCCATTCCTGTATCTATGTATTGTACTTTAATGAATAAAGTTATATGAAATGAAATGAAATGAAATGCATTAAAACGGTACACTCTCCAATCTCCATGTTGTCCAACTAAGACATCTACCATTTATCCAAACTGCAACTAAGCAAGGTCTACAGATTTGAAGACTGCAGCTACGTGATGTAAGACTACATTTTCACACTGGCTAAAAAGTCAGACACTATGACTGTAATACCAAGTTAGGAGTTTGAAGCTCAAACGGCTTACGAAAAATCTGTCTCTTCGTTTATTACATGTCTGGCCACACATAAGCCGGACAAATTTTAAAGAAAATAAAGTATGCATCAAACTTACGCGAATTTCTTTGGTTCGCTATGCGTCTTGACGTGTCTAGCAAAGCTGCGGTAGCGGGTGTAGCTCTTTGGGCAAGTTACACAGGCAAACACAGGAGCTTGATTGTGAACCTCTGCGTGATGTCTGCGCAACTCTGACAATGTGTTGAGCTCAGCCAAACACGTAATACACTTCCAAATATATCCATCCAGTCCTGTGAAAAAACAACAAAAAGTCACTGGCTGTTCCAATACCATTTTGAAGTTTTATGTAAACACGCTAAAAACCTGCCTATCTTGTTTAGAGAAAACTTTTTTACTTTAAATAACGTCACCTTTTCCACTGGTCCTGGTCTCGTCCTCCGCCTCTGAAAGATAATCTGGATCATCAGCCCCATCATCTTCCTCTCCTAAATGGTCCAAGGTCGAGATCCTCTTACATTTCCTCTCCTTCTTCTCAACAGCTGATTGCCCAGATTGATCGATCTCCTCTATGGTTTGTTCCGATATTAAAGGTTTAGTCTGCTCATCATATTGCTCTTCCGATTCAGAGTGCTTTATAGGGGTACGAAGTTTTCTTTTGGATGTTGCTGGAAGAAAAGTTTTATATGATTGATAAGCAACTTAATGTTAGCAGTAAATTAGAATTATGTTAATGCAGGGTGAAAATGATAAAAATCATAAAATGTACAATAATTAGGCTGATGAAAATATTTATTAATTGAGACAAACTTCATCATCAGGACCTGTGGTCCATTATTAAATTTTTACCACTAAATTTGATTTATATAATATTCTGTACAAGATATGGTTTTATAATAGTTATTTGTGTAACTATAGTTCGGCCGCTTAGAAAGCGACCTCTTCTAGCATTGGTTAGCATTAGGGCGCAGGTCGTTTTCTAAGCGGCCGAACTATAGTGTGGAAAGTGGCACTTTGCTACATACGAGAGAAATGTTTACACACGAGCTGCGAGTGAGTGTAAAAAGTTGTTTGAGTGCAGCTGAGGCACTTTGCACTCGTGCTACACATTATATTTTTCCTACAGTTACTATAAAGCATAGAAATAATTAGTCTTTCAAACAGTTACAATACGTTTTAGGTTAGGTTAAATCCTTAGCAAACTGGGAAACAACTGCACCAGCTGTATTTTTAAATGTTGCCAACCTATTTCCATGCGTACATGGTTTACGTCCATAATAAAAGCACGCTGTTTTGTGTTGTTTGGTTGGAATAATGGTGTGCAAAAAAAAAGAATACTACAGCAAAAATAACGTGCGGCAAAAGTAAGAAAATGGAACTATTAGCAGATTTCTGTATATAATCAATTCAAGGAAGCCCACTTTGTCAGGTGACTGTAGGAAAAATATAGGCTATTGTTAAATTAAACCTTAGATAGAAGTATACGAACAATATACACCAAGACAAAGTTATGCAACTAGGCAGTATAATTAGAATGGAAAAACCTATAATTTATTTATCAAATTATCATCAATTTGAAATCAATATACTTAACTTAATCAAACAAGATACTATCGGCATAACGTTTGTGTGCAAAATTCTTAGTAAATATAAATTATATTATATTATCTATATAAATAAAATTAGAGTTTTGTCTGTACATTGCTCAGAATCATAAATTTTTAAGTTATTTTTACGTTTTATACATTAAAGAAGCCGAAACAAGTCTCATCTAAATTTTTGTCTGTCTGTCTGTTGTTCTGTCTGTCTGTAACACTCAAGATGGTATTTAACGCAATCTTCTCCATGAAAACGAAAGTACCTATCAAGATCCAAGTCATTTTAATGTATTCACTGGATTGGCGAGAGTGTCTTTAGCCATGAAAATATGGCCTCACTACTTTGTAAATAAAATTACGGACGTTCAAAAATGCAGTTTTGTGCGATTTTTGTCAAATTTCGTTCCATTTTAGAATTTAGCCTCCGGATTACGTTGAATATATTAAAATGGTGTAAATACCTGCTTCGTGGTAATCCTAATGTTGCTAGTGTCGCAACTAGTTTCGACTTTTTACAAAGTCATCTTCAGGCGAAGGTGTCAAGGATGTCAAATGGTGGTCACTTCATATGAAGGTCGTCATTACACATAAATGTACATAAAAACACGAACACGAACACGGACATTAACACGTAAAAACGGTACATTTGTACCAAATGTACCGTTTTTACGTGTTAATGTCCGTGTTCGTGTTCGTGTTTTTATGTACATTTATGTGTAATGACGACCTTCATATGAAGTGACCACCATTTGACATCCTTGACACCTTCGCCTGAAGATGACTTTGTAAAAAGTCGAAACTAGTTGCGACACTAGCAACATTAGGATTACCACGAAGCAGGTATTTACACCATTTTAATAAATTTCGTTCAATTTTTATCACATAATCATCTATGAAATAACGAACAGCTGTTCGGATCAAGATTATTTTTTCTAGCTGTCGCTGATATGTTTACAAATACTGCAACCATTTCCGATCACGTTTTCAAAGCAAATCCCAACCAAGTGAGAATAAAAAATGTTTTTCTTACATAAGGATTTAATTAATCACAAGTGCAATATTATAGTGTAACGGTAAATGATATTAAATAGCTAGGCATTATCCAGGTCAGGAACCAGAGATTCTTTGTGTATCAAATTGTTCTTGAGTTTTGATAACCAGAAAGAAGACCTTGAATCAGTGTTGTATTGGGCTGGGACACTTAATGATCGTCGCCAATAGCTTAGAAACATGGTTTCCACTTATTGACGGCACTTCAATGGCGGTTGTGTAAAGTGTATAGTAAAAAATCACAACTGCAGTGGGTGATTGTAACAGAGGTTTACGGATGATGGTAAACTCGCTTTTCCAATGTGTCACTTTCTGTTTCTACTCACCGTGTGATGCAATCGCTGGACCATACAGCCAATAGGCCCATAGCCCATCTCTTGGGTACGTATGCCTACCTATTTATTCATAACAACCTTTTCAACGACGATCCTTGATACCGGTACTTTTCCATAGAATACATGGCCTACCTACTTAAGAAATAAAAAAAACCCAACATTGTGTGATTTTTGTCACATTCCCTTCTAATGTTAATAGATATACTAATCATTGTTTAGAGAATACGTAATCTATTAAATAACAAAAAAGTTGTTTGGATAAGGTTTTTTTCCCAAACTGACACCGATAAGTTTAAACATACTAAAAAAAGTTAAGTTAAAGTTAAGTTATAACTTCTTACGAGAAAATCCAAAATCGAGAGATCAATAACCTCGGGACTAGATTAATGCATTTACTTGGTAGGATGTACTATAGTTCTTAAATGTTAACGTTGGTTTTTGGTATTGGTTATTTTCCTTAGAACCGTTGGTAGCTGCAAGAATCATTTTTATATACCAACACATCACTGTAATGAAATTAGTTATCGTTGGTGTTGCACCTTAGAGGCATATTCAATTTAATTGATGTCTTAACTGTATAAGTTTTGCTTTTTCTGTATGGATTCCAAAATCTTAGCTTACCCGGTATGCTAAGAAAATGATAACCCATTTGAGTAAAACATTTGCTGAGCAAACCATCATGAATTGTTTACGCCTTTACGTTGTTTATGTATCAATAGTTCGTGGCCTATTTTGGTAATTTTTATTCTAAATTACCAATCTAAATTGTCTATGTACTTCATTTCATATAGTAAGCCGTCATTTCGACAGCATTTCCGGTCATCTTTGGTCCAAACAATTATAAATTGTTATGATAAAATTTGATTAGGCCTACATTAACAAAGATTTAAAATACTAATTTTATATGTTTGCTTAAACCGTGGCAAATTCCTTAGTTAAATTGTGTATTTTTTTGTGTTTGTTGGTAGGTAACGCATTAATGTCCTCATTTCTCAGTGTTTCACGAAACGGACAAGAGCACCTTTGATAATGAACATGTCAACCGAAATAATGTGTTAAATGGTAAGGTTGAGGTAGTACTTTAAATACGTATAACCATTGTGGAAAGTAACTTTCAATTATAGGCTAGGTTCATTATAGGCTTAGGGCTACGTGGATCTATAAAGCATTTTTTAGTTTAATCATTGGATTTAACATATGAACCAACACGATCCGGGTGACATTTAATTGCGAAGCATTTATTTTGGCTTGAACTGTCAGATACAGTATTTGCGAAGGTTTATATATAATAGTTTTGCCAGCATTTCTGCAAATATGCAAACTAACTGCTGTTCTTAATATAAGAAGGTTTCAACTGACATGACATAAGAGTAGGAAATTCGCTAAAATCATATTAATGTTATTAATTATTATTATTTTTACTATTGTCTTGAAAGTATGAGAACTCCGTCCCAGTACTTATGTACCAGCCGACACTGAATGTCAAAAAGAACATGCAACAGATTGTATGAAAACTTACCTTTTTCTGGTGAAACCAGATCTGTGTAATCGTTGGTATTTTCTTTGACACAGATTGTACTACCATCGTAGTCATGATCAAAATTCTGAAATGAAAAATACAAAAATACTTATTTACTTGAATACTCAGCCCTTATCGATGAAGTTAGTTTAGTGGAAATATTGGGTGGGTCTTCATGGAATCATCACTACAGTATGCAAACTACTGTATAAGGCTGGTTTTGACAAATCAAATCAAATCAAATCAAATCAAATTATCTTTATTCACTTTATACATTTTATATACATGAATAGTGTCAAAGCATACAACATTAGTTATAAAACATAATCTAAATGGCTTAACCATAAATTTGACAATTATTTTAGAATGGACAGCTAATTCATTTTTGATTTATAAACTCATCTATACTATAGGGAGCCAGATTAATTAAGAATGATTTTAGCTTTTTCAAAAAATTGGGTTTGTTTTGATCTTTTTTTAGTAAGGCAGGCAAACTTCTTATGAATAAATTGCCAATATACGAAGGCTTCATTTTTGAAAGTTTCAGACGATGATGACTTTTTACAGTAAGATTTTTCCACCTTGTATTGTATTTATGGGATACTTCAGTGTTTTTATCTTTATAAACATGCCGAATAGTTTTAAAAATATACAAACCGTACACTGTAAAAATTTCCATTTCTTTAAAGTACTTTTTCACCGACTTCTTATTCTTAAATTTTTCAATAACTCTAATGGCCTGTTTTTGCAGTTTTAAAACCTTTTTCAAATTTTTTTGTGCTGTCCCACCATAAATTTCGATTCCGTAGCCAATATGACATTCTATAAGCGAGTGGTATATCAATTTTAACACAGCTTTATCACAGAGATAAGCCATTGATCTCAAAACAAACAAGCCTGAATTAATTTTACCAACCAAATATGTAATATGTTCATTCCAATTTAGATGTTCATCAATTATCAAGCCTAAAAATTTAGTTGATTTCACCTGATTGATCGGCTTATTATTTAGATTAATTTTAGGGGTTTGATCTTTTTTTATCTTATTTGTATGAAAGAGAACAAAATTTGTCTTGTTTGTATTAAGTGTTAAATTGTTGTTTGTTAAGAATTGTTCAATATTTTTGAGCTCCAATTCAGTAGAATTTATAATATCAGTAATTGAACTACCCGAAGTTTTAAGATTTATATCATCAGCATGGGAGGTTTTTAATGTAGCATATAAATAAAATAGGGCCCAAAATAGAACCCTGAGGGACCCCTAGATACGTCTGTAGTAAATCTGATTTTGTCTTCTGTATCCAATTGTTTTTTGATAAATAAGAGAGTTCTACAAATTGATAGCGATCCTCCAAATATGAAGTGAACCATTTATGTGCAACACCCTTAATGCCCATTATCTTAAGCTTGTTTAGCAATACCATATGATCTACATTGTCAAAGGCCTGCGACATGTCCATAAATGTTCCAGCAGTACTTAAGCCTTTATCAACAGAATCTATTATGGCTTCAATGAGACTAATTGCTGCAGTAACTGTTGATCTTCCAGCCCAGAAACCATGCTGTTCATTATCAATTTGCTCTGATCTGCTTAAAAATTCTATCAGTCTGTTGTAAACTGCTTTTTCATATACTTTTGAAATTGTGGGAAGAACTGATACTGGTCGGTAATTAGAAACATCATTTTTAGAATTCTTTTTATAAACTGGTATGATCTTAGCAATTTTTAATTGTTTTGGAAAATAGCCTGAGATAAATGAAGAATTTATAAGATGTGTCAGGATAAACTTTAATTCATCTTTTACCTCCTTAAGAATGGTGACTGATAAGCCATCATAACCAGATGATTTTTTGTTTTTAAAAGATTTGATAATTGAGACTATTTCAGTGTCAGTTACGGGTTTTAGATAAAAATTTGAATTCAATGAAAAACCTATATTGTTGTCATCTTGAGTAGAGAAAGATGGTTGAGCTAGATTTGTGGTCATTGTATGTGCAAAAAATGAATTAAAGAAGTTGCTTACTTCTTCGGGTCGGCTTATCAGCTTCTCACCATTTTTTAACACAATGCCTTCAGTATCTTTTTGTTTTTTACTATTGTGAATTTCTTTGTTTATTATTGACCAAGCAGTTTTTGAAATGTTAGGTGATTGCTTGATTTTGTTGTTGTAATACTCTTTTTTCGCATTTAAGAGTTCTGATTTATAGTTTTTCTTTAAGATATTAAGATCGTTAGATGTGGGTTGTTTTAATAATCTAGCTCCCTTACTTAAATTAACAATAACATCCCTCTTTAGCTTTAAATCATAATATTCAAAAAACGTTGCAGTTTGTGTCTATTAGACACAAATGTGAAGTAAGATTGATGAGTGTAGAATAGGTTGCATGCTTTGTCACTGATCAAGACCAACTACAGTATTTCTTTAGTTATATTTTATAGTTATATTTAATTTTTTAGTTATTTTTATAGTTATATTTTAAATATAAATTTTTCTTTAGTTTATATTTATATTTTTAATAATTTAGTCTTTGTTAAACAAAACATTACAAATTTTACTAAATGTCACTCAATACATAACCACTCAACTAGACAATCAAACAACCTGTACATCCCACCAGTTAGACTTTCAAAATTCACAAAAAGCCATAAATATTTACAATTACAGCTTTTCAATAAACTTCCCATTCCATTTAGAGAAATTGATAACATAAACCTTTTCAAATCAACATTATCAAGAAGGCTAATTAGCAAAGCCTTTTTTTCTATAGACGATTTTTTTAACACAAATAATTACTCTGAACTCTTAACACTATTGGCCACTAGGAGGCAGCCTGCATGACCAAAAATCTTTTTATAAATTTCCTGAATATTTACAAATTGTTTAGTTTTGAGGCATTATTTACTTAAGTTTTGTATAAATTTGTGTAAAGCATTCAATCTTAGAATTTTAAATTTAAATATTTAGGCCTGTATGTACAGTTTATGCAACAAAATGTTCAATGTTTCATAGGATGATGTATAGATTTAAGCATGATGTCACATTTGTGTCCTGACTTCTGACGTTGTCTATTGTAATTTTATGTTGCTGAATGACAATAAAGATTATTATTATTATTATTATTACAAGTATAAGTAATGACCAAAAATTAATCATCAAAAGAACAATTTTTAGAATGACTAATATTGGACAATCAACATTTTTAAGTTAGGTATTTATTCAATATAATATACACAACTTGCCATTATACTGTAGGCTACAGTATTAAAATACCCCGCCGCAGCAAACCTGCAGACTAAGCGAATTTCCATTAACCTGATTGGATTTACACTAAATTGCCTCCATAAAAATAGCACATTTATTTCCTATTTAAATAGAATTAGTTTAACGAGTACTTAGGTTTGCTGCAACAGGGAGGGTAAAAAAGATTTTTTTTATAAAATGATAATAGTTTAGTAAGAAATAAAAGTATTTTCCAAAATCGATCAAAATATGTTCATAAACAAGCAAACTACAACAGTTGACTTATTCTCCATAAGAATAACATGGGAATTTCAAAATTACAATTTTTTTGAATTTTCTCCGTAACAATTAGGCGCATAATAACGCTTCAATATACTAAATTATTTGTTTTTTTAAGCTCTACAAAATGGTTTAAAAAGAAATTGTGAAATTTCGTGTTTTTAGGGTCAAAAATGGGAAAAACCTATTTTTACCCCATAAAACCCCCTATAAACCCCCGTTCCCATAGTCCGATCATGCTGGTTCGCGAACTCATTCAAGTTTATCCCGCCTTACACCTTCAAACCAAATTTTATCAAAATCGGACAAAAATTACTCAAGTTATCGTGCGGATGGACACATATATATATATAGATATATAAAAATTTGAACGAATGGTGTTTTTGGCCTCTGGGGACATCAAAATGAAAAAGTAAATCGGTCCCGGGCTTAGGTCTTACCATGAGACCTACGGTAATAGCTACTTCCCTATAGGGAAATTCGCTAAAAAAATTGAAACACATTTTGTAATCAATCAAAGCTTAGAATTGTTACAAAAAATAATTTTAATGTCCTTTTTACTTACGTTTTCACAACTCATTTCTGTATATTCTATCACTTGCGGATCATTTATCTCCTCTTCTTTCTCTTTATACATTGTCATAAGTGATATTTGAGATTGTGAGCAGGTTTGGGAAAATTCAAAAAATAGATTGATTTTTGAACAGCACTCGGTGCAAATTGTTTTTGGAAGTACATCTTCAGGGTAAAGCTGAAAATAAAAATAAGATGAGAATCTATAGATTAACTTATGGTAATTGCTGTAAACTTACTGTTTTACTTATTTAGAGTCCATTATTATTCTAGTAAATATTATCATTGCATTTTAGTGAGTGTGTGGTTTAATGTTGTACTTCTTTTTAGACATGTATGGCTTTTCCTTCAAAACTGATGGTAGGCCTATGTTAGAATTCAGCATGAAAAATACTGTAAGAAAACCTCAATAAAAAAAAACGATACTGGGCTACAGTAGGTACCTAAAATTTTCATTCCAACCTACAACTTTAACTGTAAATTGAATAGCTTTGATATCCTTAGTATTTAATTATAGATGAAACTCTAGGGGCCTACTAGCCTAACTTATTCACCAGAAGGTAATGATGTAATGAGGTAATGAGGTAAGGTTATAATGTAAATGTACCTAATCAAATTTCATGCTGCGAAGGTTTCAACTTTATTACAGTTCATCTTCAGCAGCATTCATACATTGAGAATAAATGACATCAAGCGATGTATGTAGAGTATGCCTAATTACAGACATTTAGGCTTTACAACACACAGAAATATATACCAAGCGGTTTGGTCTTTATAAAATTGTGTGAATACTGGCGATTTTGAATTGCTCAATATTTATTTCTGTGTGTGTGTATAAGTGTTTGTAAACGTTCTACAATCATCGATCGATGGGATTTATTTAAGCGTCGAAATGAATGAAAAATAACTAAGTTACCATACATTTTACACCTTCTGGCAAATACGCAAGGTGTAGATTTTTATGTTAAAAATTTACTTTAAAACAATTAACCTATCTTATTTCTATTGAATGTTAAGTTAATCGTGTTTTAAGTAGCCTATTGCACCTAAGTTATTGGCGTAAGTGATATTCAGGAAAAACCGAGTCTCACTTAACTTAGACAGACTACTCAACTTTATTTCTGAATAAGTAGTATATAAAGGACTATACACACACATGACACATCAATTCTGGCATGTCACATCAGTACAGTAGACTCCCTCTTCTCCGGACTTCTCGGGAGCGAGGCCAGTCTGGATAACGGGTTTTCCGGTTAAACCGACGTCCCCAAAAACTTGTTAAAATAGACTGTTTACTGTGATATTCAACTTAAATTTAGGACAGCATTGTATTTAGACACGTGATCACTGGTCTCAAATCTTTCCCACCAGAACAGTCGTTTCAGTATTGCCCACTTCCTGCCGATCTAGTCCGGTTAAACCAATGTGCTGGTAAAAATTGTCCGGTTAAAGAGATATCTTTTCCGCCTAGTGTAGTCCGGTTAAACCGATGTCCGGTTAAAAGGTGTCCGGATAAGAGGGAGTCTACTGTAACTTATGTCACAGTAAAAAAAAATTCTTTAACGGATTTTTTTTTTGCAATCTACACTCATCCAGTGCAGCTCCAACACAGGACTATCAGTCGCTTTGATGGCATCCATCAGTCAATTTCAGATTTCTTCCCAGCGATATATTTTGGGATTGTTCGGACGCCTGTGTGATGCATGTGTTTGACATAGAAAAAATATTGTTTTTTTTTAATTTTCATAATATTTTTTAACATTTTTTAAGTACCGGTAACATACTATTTGTAACAATCATCAAGATGGACGATGAAAAATTGATGGAATATTGTGTTTTACCAAAAGAGTTTTAGACTGTAACATCAATGTACTGTAAGTAAATAAAGTTGACCGAATCCAACTGACGGAAGTTGACTGAATCTGTTGTCAAAAACAACCAAATGAAAATAGGCTATCAATTATTTCATTCGATATATCGTTTGGTTGGTTAGGTTAACCAAACCTAACCAACCTAACGATAGACTATATTGAATGAAATAGGCTAATCGATATATATTTTTACCTAACCCGCCATGTTAAACTTCCCTATCCTAAGCGTGATGTATACAACTTCCTTACTTCTCGAGTGATGTAAAGTATCAAAAAACTCACTCGGTGATGTAATGAAACCCATTTAAATAACATTGAGTGGATAACTTAAAAATTATACCTCTATGGAGCCAACGACGTTCAACGCTAGAAATCAGCTGTGCGCTTGAATGTTATTGTTATGCTTTAAAGTATTTTCCTAACCTAGCTTTTGTTTGTAAAAGAACGTTACTCTTAGAAGATGAGTGAAATGGATAGTGAAAAATATTGTACATAGCCCCGTGTATATTGTCGGGTCAGGTAAAATCTTGTACGTTACACGTTACGCAAGAGCGTGTTTACATCACTTAGGTGAATTATGCAACTCGCTTACGCTCGTTGCACAACATTCACTTGCGTGATGTAAAAACGCTCTTACTACACTTGTAATGTAAATAGCTATTATTCGGTTGTTTTTAACAACGGATACGGCAGTTTACCCGTAAGCCTAGTAAGTTAAGTTAATTCCTTAACTTATAGGTCGGTAAACATCTTTAAGGTAGGCTAGGTATATTTTACCATAAACTAACCAACACAAGTAGACTTCTCATCCCATTGTAAATTTTGAAGCTCGTTTTTCATGTCTAGTTCATGTACGCCACACTGGGCGCTAGTGTCGACGAAATTTTGTTTCTATTATTTTAGGGTTAATTTCTTGATTTTTGCTTTGGTTTTTGCTCTAGCGTCGGCCGAAAGCGGACCTATACCACGTTAGCGTGTAGTATGTGACTTGCATTTTGTTGTGGTGTAGGTTGGTAGTAAATTTCCCCGTAAAATCCCCGTCTGGCAATCTCAAAAATCTACTTTTTGTCCCGTCTTTTTCCCTCCATTTGGCAATACAATTCCAATGAGACCGGCTACGTTCCAAGCAGTGCTGCTATCTGTAGGTGTTTAGTGAACTACGTCGACTCTCGTTGTAAAGCAGGACATCCCCGCATGTTATTTGCTATTTGTCAGACCAAAATTGGAAAGCCAATCACACGCGGCAATCGGGTTTGTTCGATGCTGAGGGCTGCGCCGCACTGGGGATACGCCGCTATTTGTCGTGCCACAGCGAACGTGTTAAATAACTAGGGGACAATATATTGTTTATGATTAGATCGTATTATTTGGTTAAACGAGGTTTTAAATGACTGTATTAACGGGAAACAAATTGTAAACAAAACACGACCTCTACATAAACCGTACAGAACTAACAATAAAATTGTCTTCAGCTGTTCCATTAGGATGAGAAATCTACTATGTAAGGGAGTAGCCTATGTTTTAAGTTATCTATGATTTTACTCAATAAATTATTTAGGGTTTGTCATTAACTTTCAGGGGGTTTTTCTTAGCAATTAATGGAATTGAACAAATTAGATTGTCAATGGACTAGGCCTAAACTTAGTATCCTTGGAGCCTAGGCCTAGGCTAGCTATGGACGTTATTATAATCTTTAGGCTGTACTGGCCAAGTAACTATAAACAGAATATAATCTGTACTTCTGGAACCTTCAGCTCAAGCAAATAGTCTAAAAGCACAATGGAAACAGCATTATTTGAACTAAAAGACTAATTTTGACTTTGTTTACAAATTTGAATAAGACAAGAGGATACTTCGAGATTGGTAAAGACAGTGTCTATTAAAATGGCTCACCCAAATCTGTAAACACTGAATGATCTTGGTAGCTAGATTCAATTTTTCTCCCTCTTCTCCATAAATTTTTATATAATTTTGTATCTTCATCGCACATAACCGGCAGTATACTTCTTCCGACATTTTATAAATGATTTTAGAATAAAATTTTGCACTAGGATTATTTAATTATAAAGTTATTTGCCCCATTACCGCATTCCTTTCTCTAGTTGGATCTACTTTAATTAAAACCGAGGAAGGGAAACTCGAAAATGAAACACTGAAACTGCAAAAAAGGTGAGCTTTTTTCGCTCTCAATTGATTGGCAAATTCAATTCAATTCAATTCAATTATTCAATTCAATTATTTAAGATGGGGACGCCACTATGTGCGTATTTTAACCCAAATATGAGTGAAGGATGAGTGTAGGATGAGTGGCGCGATCTTGTAGTCTTGTTAGTGACTAAGGCCGACATGTTCCTTAGACACAGCTGTTAATTAATAGCCCATACAGCTAATGGCAACTAAGGGACCTACAGTTTATAGTGGAATCCGAACCACATTTTTCCTTGTAATTTACGAATTGGTCTAATTATCAGGATAATACTGCGGATAGTCGTAGTACTCACTAGTGCGGACGTTAATCCACACCAGGGAGCATCGCATCCACAGTGCATCCCTCTTCTCTTCTCTCAAAGACAAGAGAATTAATATTGAAAACTAGCTCGTTGCTCGAAATTGAGCAAAATTGCAACTTGCACTGCAAAAAATAAAGAAGGAAAACATAAACAGCACAATCAGTGAATCAGTATCAAAGTAGACCTCACTCATAACTACTACCACACACCACTGAGTCAATGTCTGAAGCATAAACTAACCAACGCAAGGCAGTATGTTTAATCTATGCTTGAAGCATAGCTCATCTTGAAACTCCTATTTACTGGTATGGTAAAAAAGTCAACTGAAAGGTTGAAATTGTCGCCTAGTGTGACCAACCCAGCAACTTTGTCGTCGCGACAAATTCGCACGAAAAAGTCGCAGCGACAAAGTCCAAGGCCCCACTAGAAAAACCTAGTGGGTTTTTAGTGGGGCCTTGCAAAGTCGCCAAGTGTGGCCCTAGCCTAGCTAGGCGACCGGCGACAACAAACAAGACAACAGCTGACGGCGACAGCTGAAGACAATTAATTTAATTGCTAGTTCTGCCCGGTGCACTGCGCAGCGTAGAGGTCGTATTGTATTTGGTTTACAATATTCTTTTGTTATTTCAGCCATTTAAAACTTTGTTTAACCAAATAAAACGATCTAACCATAAACAATAACTCATCCCCTAGTTATATAGGGTAACCAATGTACAAACCATTAAATTAACCCTAAGATAATATAAATAAAATTTCGTCGAAACTAGCGATCAGTGTCACCGGAAATGAACTAGACACGAATCACGAGCTTCAAAATTTACAATGGGATGAGAAATCTACTTGTGTTTTGCCCGTTATGTTGGTAAATACTCTTATTACATATTGGCTTCCTGGAAGGGGCCGGATGAACAGAGGACCGGTAAAACCAAGGCCGGATATGAGGGGTTCTACTGTAGCGAATTTCCCTACCGGGAGGTATCTTTATTATCGTAGGTAAGACCAGGACCGAAGCTTTTTCCTTTTGATGTCCCTAGAGGCCAAAAACACTATATATATATATATCTATATATACATATATATATATATACACTAGTATACATACATCTCTGTGGTATGAGGTATATATGACGTATCCGAACACGATAACTGAGGCGGTCCATTCCAAAACTCACATTATCCTTATTTTTAAAATTTTTATGAAATTAAAAAAAAACGTTTCATTAATTATCCTGACAGTGAATTATTATGTTTTGTTTCATCCGAAGTGAAAGATATGTGTCTTTGTGTATTATTGCATGCCTTTTTCTTCCTAATATCTGTAGTTTTTGAGAAAATAAGTTTTAAGTGTGGATAAAGTTAGTTTTGCTCTGACGCCTATGGATAAAGTTGGTTTTGGAAGGACAGTATTTACCCTAGGATGGCATAACACTAATCAGTTTGGTTTTTAAAAAATACAACAAAATATTAAGATAATGTCCCTAATAATATATATGGCTTGTATTAACCTTAATATGTTAGATTTTCTAAGTGGTACTTACTGGAAATGTTATAAAATTATAAAAAAACCGTTTCATGAACTGTTTTAATTTTACAGTAAAAGAATTGCCATACAGAAGCACAGGTCATTAGACGTTCTCTGGACTAATGTTAAAATTAAAAGTGAGATACTTACTTATGTTAACATCTTTCAAATTAATTGATTTGTACTTTAAGAACAAGAGTACCCTTCTAAACTACAAAACTGTCATCTTGATCAGGGTAATAGGGTATCCTTCACAATACTCCTCCTCATGTGGTTGTCAGACGACAGAGCCAGAATTATAACAAAGTCACATGACTGAATTCAGGACACCGATTGGGTAAGAGGATATAGATGGTTTTGGAAAAACAAAAAATACATCCTCCTATTGGCTTGTGGATTATGTGAGTTTTCTAATGATACAACCGAAATTAAGTGAGTTTTGGTAATGACACACGCTTTTTAACATTAAATATTAGTAGGATTACTGTAAACAAGTTTTGACACGATATTTTATAGCGAACAAATGTGTCTTTTTCTGCTTAATTCAGTGATACCAATAAGAGTAATTTTTCATATCAAATAAAAATATGTATTATAACTTAGTTAAAGCCATTTTATTATTTTTCAATGTCATTTAGCTTCATAAAATTCAATGTTTTATATAATTTACGTTACACATAATATTTTTCAAGTTCTAATTGCCACGATTAGAGTATGCGTCCGTGTAGCCCTTCTCCCGTGAGGTTTTCTGAAACGTAAGATTTCAAATTAGTCAAAACACAAACACATTTAACATATTGGTGTATCAATGTATAACTCTGAATTGAATAGCTCACAAATAAACGATAAACAAACTGTTTTATATGCAAAACAGGGGTGGTTATTTCGTTTATAGCACCAGCCGCTATACTCGTGCTTTTTGCATTGGTAAGATGATGCGGAAGAGAACATCTGTGTGTTTTTTTATAGTTATCCTTGTAACTATTGATTTTAGGATAAAAACTTAATCTTACCACTAAAAAAATAAATACCACATGTCATAAGTAAATATAAATATAAATAAAACTAATATAAATACAGTACTTAAGTTTAGACGTATGATAAAATGTTACAAGTATTTTGACCCTCTAAAGTAATCCCACAATTAATTACCGGTAGCACTATCTTATAGAGACCTATTTATGCAGATTGAAAATGGATTTTAAACACTGCATGGATCCAATGTTGTGAATACTTTTTACTGTTTCTCACACTTTAAATGAAACAGAACTAAATCATCCCTTATACATCGTCCAACATTCGTATGAAAGTTGAATGACTGGCGGATTTAAGCACCAGTTGAATAGCATATTATGTAATCCTATCTTTTCTAGCATACTGTTTACAATTTACATTGTTCTAAACATCCATAACTCACATTCCTCTTTACCTAGTCTAGGAACAATATTGAGATGGCATATTGCAAGACTTATGCAATATGCCAGTCAGTATGCAAGACTATCAGAACTATTAGTTGCAACTATACATAGTTTTACTCGTGTTAGGTATTTTTTATTACGAGTAATTTACCTCATCGTCTGGTAATGCCCTGTAGTAAGGAGCTAACTTCCTGCTCAGCGGCACTCCATCAATTTTTTTGTCAGTTTCGTTTGGATTTTCTGGTTGACCATCAAGTTTCTCTGTTTTAATGATCATCACCGTATCGGAAGATTCATCATTAGCCTCATAGTGATTTGTATTACCATCTTCATGATCATCTTCAGCATCAGAAATATCTTCCTTTGATTCACCCACTCCTACAGGGGATTGAAGACTTATAATTTCTATTTCAACGGGCCCCTCTTCAGAATGTTTTGTTACAAGCTTTGGTAAGTCAGAAACTGCGCGAGGATGTGATTCGTTTACCACGGTTTCAATCTTTTGAAGTGCATCTTCAACTTCATCTGACTGTGCGAGGAATACTTCTTCAATCAATGACTGTTCTGAAACATCTCGTTGGACTGGATACTTATTAATTTCGTTGTTAGGCTCGACTTCCACTCTGTTCAAGATTATGCTAGGCTCTTTTGGTTCAGCTTTGATTTCTTCACTACTACTTTTAGAAGGATGATTGAACAGAACTGAGATATTTTCTGAGATATTTTTGGTTACATTTGTTTCTGCTCGAGAAAATTCGGTGGCATTGAAATTGTCATTTGTATCTTGCAACTGCCCGTATCCAAAAACATCTTTTAAGCTGGACATTTGGAAATAATACCAATCACCCATCACAAGGGGGTATGGTGGGCCTACAAAATAAAGTTTAGATAAGATTATAGTTCAAACCGATAGCGAAGATAGAGGCATACTGTACATACAAAATATTACATTTTATTATCAACAATGCAAAGTTTTCTTATCAAGTATCAACTCATCATAAGATTATTGAAACTCTGTATTTAAAAATTTGCGTTTTGAGTTCCAAACATCCATGACTATGTGTACCTAATATATGTAGTTTTATTGATCGAAAGGAACAAGAAATTTGGTTACGAGATAGCGGAAAGATAGGAATAAGTCCTTTTTAAAAAAATAGGAATATATTTTTTTGCTCAATGTAAAATCTAAATTTGCAGTCCAGATTGAAGACTTATTAACACGTTCACTAACGACCGTCCTCAACACACACATACACATAGGAGTGTAACGTTTGATGGGGAACGTGTTTAAGAGAACTTATACTTTACCCTCAAAAACTTTCTACTCAATACTTGTTTCCTTATATTTTATTAAACGCACCCTTGATTGAACACTGATCCATCGACGTGGCAGGGGTTGATTGTCGTAAGACCTTCAGGACTGCCCGGTTGCAGATCTTGGTATGCTCAGGGTAACACAAGCTCGCCGCCGCCGTGGCTCCGGTCATCGTGTACCCTATGCTCGGTACAGCTCCTTTCTTGAGGCCGCACAGCAAGCCTACAAAACTGCTGATGGAGATCGCCACCAGCCTGGAACTGTGGTTATCCTCTCGGCGCAAAGCCTCGAAGACTTCTGTAACAGTG